TTTACGTAATTAATCATCACCCTATTTATAAGCATTAGAATTCTTCTCACAATTTTTTTCCCCGAGTTAAACTATCGAATCTCGCAAGAGAAACAGGTAAGCTTTCTAGTAAGGATTCTACACTGTACAGAACCGAAAACAAAGTCTAATTTATGGATAATAAATCTGTATCTTTTGTGGTATATTCGCGAGTATTGATGCTCTCTAATGTTAACTAGAATGACCAAAAGACAAAGTTGAAAAAAAAAACATTTTCGTGCCATAAATAGAGCGGTGTCGAATGAGTGATGTCTTAAAGCTTGGTACTACTCGCAAAGGTAGCTATGGATGATTGTTTTCGTTTGCACATTTTTTTTTTCATTAATTTACACATTCTTGCGAATTGAATCTGGCCACAAAACAGAGGTATACAATAAATTTCGTTCATGAAAATATGTTTGTAGATGAACACCTTCGTCACCGCTAAAACGGAACAGGTCTATACATCTTTGTACCATAAGTACGATATTTATTTCGAAAGGTTTTTCTAAGTATCCGAATTATCCATAGGATAAGTGTATTTTTATCAGAACGAGAAGGTTCCTATTATAAGGCAGAATCAATTATGGACAAAATATCTAGTTGCACGAAGACGTCTTTTCACTCAATTACGCCTGTCGTACAGTTTGCATAAAATTATTAGGATTACACTGGGTATCATACTGAACTGCTTGATTACTATGCAAGTGCTCAGAAAAAAAAGAAATCACAAAAATTAGATTTATAAAACTAGACCTTTCTTGTTTTTGTGAGTACTTTCGTAGTAACCAAGGAGTTCAGTATAGTATCCACTACAATCTTCTCTTCCAAGGCCAGCGAAGGCATACAACGTTTATGAATAGTAACGCACAGCTTTCATGGGAATTTTTATCTCAGATATAGCCTCTGATAAGCTAAAATATGCTTAAATAGACTTAAATAGTTCAAATAATACAATTATATTATTTTTATTTAATCATATTCGCCCGTTTGTCGGGATAGAAGCATAGAAGTAATAAAAAAAAAATAAAAAAGAAATTTTGGAAAATAATAATGTAGTAGGATTGTCAGCTTGGGGCATTGACTCGCATGCACCCTAAACAAAGTGGCAAATGAAGTCTGCACAACTCACGCAATAAAATCGGTTGGGTCAACCGCAACGCGCTTCAGTTTGACTAAAGTATGAACGTTTTAGGATGAAATGATCATTTTCTGATGTCTTCCGAATTAAGATTCTCCTGGCGTAATTGTGCATCCTTTTTGTGTTAAGTGAGTTAACTCAACACGCATATAATGAGAATTTGAGATTTGTGTGAATAAAGTAATTTACTTCTAATGGAAACAAATTGGTTCTGCGATTTTCATTATTTAGGGCATAATGTAATTGGCTGATTTGCAAGTAGGACAAACAGCGCTCAGTTCATTTGTAGTGTAGAATTTCTAACGACGTTCTTGTTTTTTTTCCAAAGGACACGTTTCTGAAAGGATGCCCTGCCGAGTAGCACCTCATGGCGATGCTAAAAAGCCGAACAAAACCCATTTTCAAAATTGCCGTTGCCATCCGACCCAGTCGACGTAATCATCGTTCAATCAGTTCCGCTCCAATTAGCAGCTTGCCTTCATTGTACGAGCGGAACACTACGAAAAATCTTATTTTAACTAGTTTTACTGTAGATTGACATTTAACCTCAGATTACGTCAGGAGTTTCTTACAGATTATGATGGCGGCAACAACGACAACAGCGGTCCCAAAGCAATCTTTTCCGAAGAATTACATCAACATTGAGAAATAGGCCTACGTCTGTAGTCTTAGGATTGGTCTTCGACCCAGTAACTACGTGCCTTTACATTTCAATCGCATTGCTATAATTCATCGTCTTCTATGACACGGCTTTCACAAACACGTCAGAGCACCATGTTAAGCTCTGCCTTTTGACGACAATGTGTCGAACTCCTTTTGTAAAATGTCTTTCTAATGTCATTTTCAGCGATGAGGAGTACGCTCTATAACGTATGGTATGGGACGCTGACAATACAGAAAAATGTGTTATAGGTCTCGTCACTTTTTAAGGCACAGAACTTTAGTAGAACTATGCCACATAGCTGACCTGCGTACCGATCGACACGGTCTCCCTGGGGGCTGTTGAAAAATATGTACGTCTTTATTCGGCAACGCGAACCGTGCTTTAGTATCTTACGTGCATTTCTAGACAACACGGACGGACTTTTGAATGATCGCTATTTCTAAAATATGTGAGACTTACGGATGGTTGGATATTTAGTGCCAAAAATATAGCGCAGTTTTTAATTTCCAAATATATCTTTTTACTCAATTTTACAACAATATCGAAGGTATTTGTTTAAACTATTTAACCGTACTACAGGTAAAGTTTCTATTACTATTTTCATTAGATAGCGTCTTTTGTATGTTCATCAACAATGAGTAAATTTAAGCTTCGATACGATGCTAAACATTGAAATATAAAGCTACCCAGTTTCATCTACCACTGTACCCCTGCACTGTGTATAGTAAATAAACTACTTCCGTTCATCACAAGGACGCATGTTAAGTATTGCAAAAAAACAGCTACGCGAACAGACCATGAGGGATCTACCGTGAATGACTTCGTAATGGTCGCATATGTTTGGAACGACACCAGGACCCATTAGGATTAGGCTCTTTCTGTAGACGAGACTAGTTCTCGGCGCTAAATGTAAGCGGAGTGGTAATTCCAAGGAATAATGACCATGTGTTTAATGAAAAGAGGAGGTGGACAGAGCAAGCGGCCGAATAGCGATGTCTCGCCGGCACATTCATCTTTTGGGCTAGATGTGCATTCTGCAGCGCCACTTCCAGTGAAGAGTCGCCGTTCTGTGCGGAAGACAACCATCACCAATCCCAACAATTGCTCAGCTTGTGATAATGCTTCAAGAATTTCTTCATCGAAAAATAACCTACGTCTTTAGTTGCTTGAGTCGATTTATCTACTGTGTAGCTAGCGAACGATCTCTCGTTATTATATCGAGACGATATATCTTTGCTTAATAATAATTGCTTAAGTTTCGGAGTAACTTCACTTGTGTTCGTGTCTAAGTCAATCGAATTATAAGACCCTAAGGCAAAAGGCCCTAGAGACTTATCGAATTGCCCTTGCAAAGATTAAGGCCACTTGAGACTAACCGGTCGGCTTGGCTCCATTGTGCCTTTTGGGAGATTTTTTTTGTGTTATTTCACTGGGAACAACAGATTACGCTACCGTCACTGAAAGCTTTTCTTCCTGGGAACGCTACCGTCACTGAAAGCTTTTCTTCCTGGGAACAATTTTTATTATTATTTTTATTATTATTATCTTATTATCCTTGCTAAACCCTAGGTTTAGCAAGAATAAGTAATAAAAATAATAAAAATAAAAATAATAAATAATAAAAAACCACGTGTTGTGTCTTCATGTATATCATACCCTGATCTAACTGAGTGTATTGGTATGCGGCAGTAAGAACATTTGAGCGGACAAATGGGTGTAGTAATTTATTTGCCCACCAAATTACGTCTGAGCATTTCATCCTTATCATCAGAAAAACCGCTTCAGATATTTCCGATGCGACTCAGGTCAAAGTGCCTCATTTAGGAGACTATTTCTGCTAACGCCTGATTGGTACGATCTCTAACGTCTTTAATCGAAGGACCCCGTCACATTCGAGATATATGGAGTGGAAAATTCAGCCTGGTAAGTGTGCACCGAATTGTCTTCCACAGGCGACGGTTGTGTACATTTTCAACATCCAACACTTCCGTTATTGTCTTTCCTCTTTCAGGACTCTGTCAATGGTCAACATCATCCAGGGGCGTTTTCTGAATGATTAGGAAAACTGTCAACTTGCGAGCTTATTCGGGTGCTCGTTGGGTTAAAGAGCTTTCTAGCAGGCAGAACTTTTCGGGCTACGCAACGCTTTATCTTCTCAATCCGTTTTTTCGGTTTGCTATCGCAAACTCCAGGCTCTCCACTCCTACCGTCTCGTTCATTTTTGCCTATCCCACAACGCGCC